GATGGTCTTTCTGTATGTGGTGAATATGTGTTGCTACCATTGGTTACTAAAGAAGCTGTTTTGGCCTATGGCAACACAGGATATAGCCAGGTAGGAAATCCAAGAGAGATACAGGGAGAAGAAAGGAGGAGTCGGGGAGATGCTGTGAGTGCCAGAGGAGCAAGATGTAAGAGAACATAGGTAAATCCAAGAGATACATGGCGATACATAGATTAATAGAAATCTATTTAAGTTAATTTAAGGTTAATTTAAGATCTAAGAGCTAGCTAGCAATAAGCCTGAGCCATAGACCAGTTTGCAATTAATATTAAGCCTCTGAATTTTTGTAAAAACAGCTGCAGCCCGGGTGGGACCAGGCAAGACCGAGAAACTTCAGACTACACCTTGTAGCACACAAACTTGCTCTTATAGAGCCTTTATACTTGGCAGTGGTTTATTCAATAGCAATTCATATTCATATCAGCCAATGTTAACACAGAAGATATGGCTTAGATTAAAGAATAATGTCTGCTGATGGATGGGACAGAATGAGGAAGAGGTTACAACGCAAAGATGACCATTGTAGATTTTTTTTTTTTGCTGCAGTTGCTAAAGACCTGCTTGATAGAGTGACCCTGTGATGTCAGAGGGATGTAGATGTTGGTGAAGCTGGTACCAACATGTTCGTCATTTCCTGCCTGCTGCTATTTCTTCATGCCCACTCTTAGCATCTATGCAACACTCTCACTCAAAAGGAACTACCGCCTTGTTGAAAAAAAAATACTTATGTTTTAATTTATGTGCATGTGTGTGGGTGTCTGTGTGTATATGTCTCTGTGTGTGTGTGTGCACACGTCTGTGTGTATGTGTGTGTGTGTGTGTGTGTGTGTGTGCGCACATGTGTGAGGATACCTGAGGAGGCCAGAAGAAGGATTCCCTGCAGCTGGACCTACAGGTGGGATGTGAGCACCTGTGGGTGCAGGGAACCAAACTCATTCCCTATGCAAGAGCAGCGAGTGCTCTTAGCCACTGAACCATCCAGCCTCAGTACCCGCCTTCTTAGGAAAGATTCTTCCATCAGTGACTCCCGTCCCACGCTCATTGCAAGGAAACTCAGTAAACTCATTGGTTGAACAGGCTAGACTAGGACAGGAACTTCCCTTGGCCTGTCCATGTCCTCTGTATCTGGGATGAACAGATATTTCCTAACATCTCCCCTGGGAAAGTCTCACACCACCACCCTGGACAGGAAATGCTCCCTCTGGATGTGTCCCAGCTCCCAGAGGACTGCCGAATGTGAGATGATACGCTCACCTCTGAAGTCTCAGCCGACATTTTTGATATAGGCTTTTGGGGGAAAATACTCACTTTACAGAACTTTGCATTGGATCAGTGCTTAAGTGGAGCCTTGCAGAGGTCTGTGATAGCTGCTAACCTGGCCCACCTTTAGTGGAACGCAGTTTGAAAGATTTTTTAAACATTTGTTTAGTGTCTGCGTGTGCACATGTGGGCACACGTGTGTCATGGCATGCATGTGGGAGTCAGAAGACAACTTGGGGAAGTTGGTTTCTTCCCTCCGCCTTGTGAGACCTGAGGATCTAATAACTCAGGTTTTTGGTCTTGGCAGCAAGCACCTTTATTTCCTGAGCTATTGGGATAATACAATAATAATAACAATAATAAACAACAATAATGATAATAATAAAAATGCATGTGTGTGTGTGTGTGTGTGTGTGTGTGTGTGTGTGTGTGTGTGTGAATGTGGGTGTGTGTGTGCAGTGAAGTGTGTTGGAGGTCAGAAGACAATCTCAGGCATTGGTTCTTGCTTCCCACCTTGTTTGAAACAGTCTCTTTCCTGTTAGCTGTTCTAGGCACCAGGCTCGTTGGCCCGTAAGCTTCCGGGGATTTTGTCTCTGCCTCCCACCTCATAGCAGGAGTGCTGGCATTGTCCACATGTGCGCCACTGGATCGGGCTTTATGTTGAGTTCTGGGTGTTGAACTCAGCTGCTCATGCTTGTTCCACAGACACTTGTCTCATTGAGACATCACTCCCGGCCATGAGTGGAAGAATGTGAATGAAGCCCAACATCATAGGGCAGGGTGGCTCACATCTGTCATCCTATCACTTGAAAGGCAGAGGCAGGAGGATTGTCACAAGCCTGAGAATAGCAAGGGCTACAAAGTGATACCCTGACTCAAAAAAAAACCCAAAAAAACCAAAAAAACAAAAAACAAAAAACAAAACAAAACCAAAAATGACAAAACAAAACCTAAACTAGAGAAAAAGGTGATTTGGTACCCATAGGGATAATTGCATGGAGGTGCCGCCATCACCGCACCTTCATTACCACCAGCATCCATGGATGGCCGTTCCACCTTCTGCCCCTCCCAGCCTCCACTCCACTGGCAAAAACCAGAGACTCTCCTGCGGAGTTGGGCTTAATGTCTTCTATTCATTCCCTAAGTGTTGGAAAGGATAATTGGGAGGTAATTGCATTACTACACAGTTTGTAGTTAACCTTCTATTTTGGCTCTTGATGTGCGTATCTTTGCTCCAGGAGTACATTAAGGGTAATTATAGGCAGTTCCCTGCCAGATCCAGGAAAGGCCTTTGCAGTGAGTACAACAGCCCGCCAGGAAGGAAATCTTAGCAGAACTGAACTTGAACTGGATCCCCAAAAGCAAATGAAGGAAGGTCAACTTGACATGAACTTTGGCCAAGTGAGGAGAGGAATGAGATCAAAATCTCGTCTTTTCCTTTTCTTAAAATTTTAAATTATGTGTATGTGTTTCTGTCTCTCTGTCTCTCTCTTTCTCTGTCTCTCTGTCTCTGTCTCTGTCTCTCTCTCTGCATGTGAGTGTGGTCCCCAGGGAAGTCAGAAGAGGGTGTTTGTATCCTCTGAATCTTGAGTTTTAGGTGGTTATGAGCTACTGAAAGTGGATTGTAGGAACCAAATTTGGGTCTTTTAGAAGATCAAATGCTTTTAACTACAGAGCCATCTCTCCAGTCCCTCATCTTTCCCCCCAATATTTCTGAGACAGACTCTTTTGTAATCTAGGCTGGCTTCCAATTCACTAGGTTGCCAAGGTTGAACTGATCCTCCTGCTTCTATTTTCTGAATCCTAGATATGTGCTACCAGTAAAGCGTTTGCCTAGAATCCCTCAGTAAGGTGCTAGGGGCATGACTCAGAGGTAGAGCACTGCTTAGAATACCCCAGGGGGCTCTAGGGGTGTAATTTAGTAGTAGAGCACATTTTAGGACAGTCCAATGAAGTACTTTGGGTATGCATGGCTCAGTGGTAGATGGCTCAGTGGTAGACCACTTGCTTAGTATATGCAAGGCCCTGGGCTCCATCTAAAACCACACACATACATACACACACACTCCTCAGTTATCAATATTGCTGAAACATAGTGAATATTTTCCAAACACTTTCTCACTGCCCTTTCCCATAGGTCCAATATTATTTTTCTTGATGGCCAGAGGCAAATGAAGAATAGATTTCCCCGTTGACCATCAGTGATTCCTTTCCATTGTTTTCCATCTCCCATTGTAATTCAAGCTGAGAGGACATTTCATTGCTCCCTGACCAACACCTTGGTAAGCAAGATGGATGGTCAATTGTTAATTGGGATTCACCCACCCCACCCGAGATAGAATCTCACTACTGCAGTAAGCTTTTATGTCGGACTACATTTGGATCACCAGCCCCCAAATAATGACAAACAGACTTATTGTTAATTATGAAAGCTTGGCCTTTAGCTTAGGCTTGTTTTCAACTAGCTCTTATAACTTAGTTAAACCATATTTTTTAAATCTACATTCTGCCATATGGCTTGGTTACCTCTCCTCCATATGACATATCGGAGTTACTCTGAGTCTGCTGGTGAAATCCTAGATTCCTCCTCCTCTTCCTTTCTCTCTCCAGAAATCCCACTTATCCTCTCCTGCCTAGCTATTGACCGTTCAAGCACTTTATTAAACCAATCAGAAAGTGCCTTGGCAAAGACCTATCTTCACAGTGTACAAAAATATTATCCCACAACATACTATGTAACCCAGGCTGACCTCAAGTTGGGATCTTACTGTCTCACCATCCTGAACCAGCTCACTCATTCCACGTTTTTAAATTTTTTCTTTTTATTAATTCTTTGAGATTTCATAAATGTATTTTGATCATGTTTACATCCCCCTTCAACTACGCCTCTCTGATCTACCTCCACTTTCTTAGCTACAGAACCCCATATTCTCTTGTTTTGTTTTAAAAACTCACCGAGTCCAATTTGCATTGCCCAGTACTCTTGGACGTGGGGCCAGACCCTGGAGTGTGGTTGATCTAGCAGGGGTCACACTCTTAAAGAAAAAAGCCCCTCTCTTAAGGACTATCAATTACCAGTAGCGCCTTAGTTAAGAGTGAAACTTCACACCCACCTGCTCTCTCTGTGAGTCTTTGTCTGCCTTGAGCTTGCACAGGTCTTGTGTGCACCGTCACAACCACCGTGATTTCATATGTGCAACTGCCCTGTTGTGCCTGGAAAATGCTGCTTCTGTGTAGTCATTCACTACCTCTGGTTCTTACAGTCTTTCTGTCCCCTCTCCCATGACAATGACACCTGAACTTGGGAGGAGGATATGATATAAGTGTACTGTAGTAGTTGGAATGGGATGGGTCCCCATAAGCTCAGAGGGAGTGGCACTATTAGGAGGTGTGGCTTTGTTTGGAGCAGGTGTGGTCTTATTGGAGGAAGTGTGTCACTCTGGGGGTGGGTTTAAGGTCTCCTTTGCTCAAGCTACACTCAGCATGACACTCAGTTCACTTTCTATTCCTGAGGATCAACATGTAGGACTCTGAGCTCCTTCTCCAGCATCATGTCTGCTTGCACACTGCCTTGATGAAAATGGACTAAGCCTCTGAACTGTAAGCCAGGCCAATTAAATATGTTCCTTTATAAGAGTTGCTGTGATCATGGTGTCTCACACAGCAATAAAACCCTAACTAACACATGCACCATTTACTGATTACTTTGGCAGCATATATACTAAAATTGGAACAAATACAGAGAAGATTAGCATGGCCCCAGTGAAAGGATGACACCCAAATTCATGAAGGATTCCGTAACTTTTCCCTAATCCAGAAGTTAACTTCAATTGATAGCCACTTGCAAATGAAAACTTAGCTTTTGCCAAGGGAGTTTCACTGGGGAAACAAACTACTCTTAAGGGTAGGCCCCCATGCCCAACAGTAGATGGTCAACACAAAATAAACGAAATGGCATCTTTGGAGGTTCTTTGTCTCATAATGTTTTATCAGGGTATTTTATTTTTTCACCTTCCAGGTCCTTTGTGTATTTATTATGGCTTCTACTTTTTTTTTGTGTGTGTGTTCTTGTGTGCATAAATGTATGGGGTTCTTGTGTGCATGAATGTATGTGTCTCTGTGTCTATATGTGTTCCTTGTGTTTTTTCTTTGGCTCTTTTTCTTCTGTTTGTTTTGTCCTATTTTGATTTGTTTTTATTTTATCTTTTTAACTTTTCTTATTATTCCTTAGATGCCTGTTTGTTTTCTAAGGAGAGACAGGAAGGGTGTGGATGTGAATAGGAGGGGCAATTGGGGGCAGGGAACTGGAAGGACTTGGGGGAGGGGAAACTAATCAGAATATAGTGTATGAAAAAAACTATTTTCAATTAAAAAAGGAATTGTATTCTTAGCAACACTTTAAACATGATTCAATTTTTTTGGAACAAAGATCATGGAGTAAGTTCATTGTATTAAAATATAACTAAAATTTTAGTGTTTTTTAGTTATAGATTTTAGTTTATGCTGATTCTAATTTTTTGAACAGTCTGTTTTTTTCCAGTGACATCAGATTTAATGTTATTTCATCACTTTTGCCTGTTTATAAAGTATTTTCTTTGCTAAGAAAAGTGATGTCCCATTTAAAGCTGAGTACTCCAGAGCCTCTTGTTCTTTGTGGGTTGGCCAGTTGTCGGTTTCCATGTTAGTTGCTGTTTACTACAAGAATAAGCTTTTTTGATGAGGGCTGAGAGAAGCACTAATACATGGATATACCAGTAAGTCATGAGGAGTTTGTTTAATACTATGATCATTTCGCAGAATCATTTAGTGGTAGCTTCTTCCTTAGGGTCTATGACCTATCTGGGTATAGGTTTTCGGCCCCATTAATGATGCCAAGTATGGGTTCGATCTTATGGAGCAGTCCTTAAATCCTATCAGAAAGTGTGCAGTTAGTCCCATAACATTTGTGCTCCCAGTGTATCAGTGGGCATATCTTACCAGACTAGTTATTACTGTAGCTCATAGGGTTCACACTGAGTGAGAGTGATGATCACTTTTCTCCTCTAGCAGTGTGCACAGCACCTTCCAGCACTATAAAAGCTAGCCAGTATGGATCAAGTACTAGCTTTATTTCTCTATGTTTTATGATTCAAGTATGTGGCATCTTTAGCAATAGGGTCATACTATAATGTTCTGGAGGGTAGCCAATAGTATCAACAATAGTCTGTTTGGGAATCTACGGAACCCTGTGGCCAATGAGTGTAATAGAGGTAACTCATTCACCTCTCTGGGCTTTTAAATTTGTTTACCTGTGGTTTAATTTGTTTACCTGTGGTGTCTGGTAGAGGCATTGTTGCTCTGTTATAGGGTAATCCAATTTGAACTCTTTTTTACACATGTAAGTATATATTTTAGGAAACTTCTCTAGCAGTAGGTCCCCATATGACTTTTTCTAAAGGTGTTTAGTGCTACTTATTGTGTTCCATGTATTCTTTCCTCTCTCTCCTCACCCCATTTAAACTATCCCATTCCATGATCTACTTCTTCTTCTTCTTCTTCTTCTTCTTCTTCTTCTTCTTCTTCTTCTTCTTCTTCTTCTTCTTCTTCTTCTTCTTCTTCTTCTTCTTCTTTTTCTTCTTCTTCTTCTTCTTCTTCTTCTTCTTCTTCTTCTTCTTCTTCTTCTTCTTCTCCTCCTCCTCCTCCTCCTCCTCCTCCTCCTCCTCCTCCTCCTCCTCCTCCTTTTTGGTTTTTCGAGACAGAGTTTCTCTGTGTAGTTTTGGTGCCTGTCCTGGATCTCACTCTGTAGACCAGGCTGGCCTCGAACTCACAGAGATCTGCCTGGCATTGTTTCCCAAGTGCTGGGATTAAAGGCGTGCGCCACCACCGCCCGGCTCCCTCTTCCCTCTTTACATCACTGTATGTTCTACCTCCTTTCTGTTGGAAGACACACACCCCCACGCCCCATCCCAGGCCCTTTACTAACTTCCTGATTTTCTTATAGCCCAGACCAGTTGTTTCTCAAGGGCCCTAGAGATATTGATGAAGATTAATGATCCTGTAAATAGGTGTTTAAAATAAATAAATAAAAAAAGGATGAAAACATGGATGAGGGAGAAACTACAGTGAGTTAATAAATGAGGTGTTCGGAGGCAAGTGCCTCCAAGATTATTTTAGCAATTAGCGGGAAGCGTTTTGTCACCAACAAAATAAATCTGTAATCAGAAAATAATTTGTAATCAGCTTTGCAAGTCAAATGGCTTTCCCATCCCATCGAAGGCAGCTTGAGAATTAAATGATCCAGTCAAAAACGATACTTTCAGGGGATAAATGCTCAGGACAGATTGTCTAGGCAATTAGTCAATAGTTAGGTCCTGGGCTGTATAAGAAAGCTTGCTAAGCCTGAGCATGCTTGTGTTGCCAGCCGGCAGCATTCCACCAGGGGGGATATGACAGAAGTGTCCCTTACCAAGATGCTATCTACCCACACCAGGAACGGAAAAAACCTCCGTGATGAATGCTTCCTGGGATTCAGTAAATGTACACAGGAAACATTCTGCAAGCCTGCTGGAAGGGATAGTGTTATGGCTCGAAGGTAGAATGTTTGCCTAGGACCCCCCAATGAGGAGTTAAAGTGTGGCTCAGCTCTAGAGCACTTACCTGGAATCCTTGTTTCTGGGACAGCTAACTAGCTGATTTACCTGCAGGATGTTTTTCAAAGCCCCTTCTAATGACATTGAGAGAATGATACAAAGAGTGGGAAATAAGACCTGAACCACAGAAGACATTTCTCCAGAAGCCTGGCCCCAAGTGACCAAGACCTCAGTGTACAGAGGAGTGCTATTCCCCCCCAAAAGCACACATAATTTTGATACATCATGTGGATTACTCTTTATGCATAGCTAACAAATGTTTTAGGTGCTTTTAAAAACATAGTCTTTGTCCTAGTTAGCTTTAACTGTCAAAGTAACACAGATTACGGTCACCTAAGAAGGGAGTCTCAATGTAGAAATTGTCTAGATCATATAGGCTTATAAGCATGTCTGTGGAGGATTGCATTGACTATTAACTGATGTAGGTGGTCCCAGCCCACTGTGGGTGCCACCATTTCCTAGGCCAGTGGTCCTGGGCTGTATAAGAAAGCTAGCTAAGCCTGAACCTGTTTGTGATCCAGCCAGCAGTGTTCCTCCAAGATTTCTGCTTCAAGTTCCTTCTTGAATTATTACCCTGACTTCCCTCAATGATGGACTGTGACCTAGAATTTTAAGCCAAATAAAAGCTTTCCTCCTCTAAGTTACTTTTGGTTGTGACATTTGTCATGGCAACAGAATGAAACCAGAACAGTCTTCATGCATGCTTTGATTTCTTTAGAGACCACAAGGAAGGTTGAGAGTGGTTCCTGTAGATGAGCAGTCATTCAGGCAAACTCTATTAAAAATCAAGCTATCAATAATTTCCCTAAATGTAGCCATTGATCATAATGATTCAACTCAGAGGGAACATAATGAGCGTGTCTGTCTTAGGGTTTCTATTGCTGTGAAGAGACACCATGACCACGGCAACTCTTATAAAGGAAAACATTTAATTGGAGCTGGCTTAAAGTTTAGAGGTTCAGTCCATTATCATCATGGTGGGAAGCATGGTGGCACACAGGCAGACATGTTTCTGGAGAGGTAGCTGAGAGTTCTATATCTGGATCCACAGGCAGCAGGAAGAGACTGTCACATACTGGCCAGGCTTCATCATCTGAGACCTCAGAGTCCATCCCCAGTGACACTCTTCCTCCAACAAGGCCACACCTAATAATGTCACTCCCTGGTGACCAAGCATTCAAACACATGATCTGTGGGGGCCATTTCTATTCAAACCACCACAGTGTCTCTGTCAGTCACTTTCCCCTTTTCATTTTCAGATAAAATGGAATGTGAAGACCAAAGAGGACATCTGATAGGCTGGGGAGATGCTCAGTTGGTAAAGTACTTGCTGTGAAAACTTGAGAACCTGTGTCTGAGCTCCCAAATCCGTATAAAATGTTGGTCATGGTGGTGTGTATTTGTAATCCTACAGATGGAAAGGTGGAGACAGGAGGATTCCTAGGGATTTGTTGTCAGCCAACCTAACCTAATGGGCAAGCCCCAAATCCCAGTGAGAGACCCTGTCTCAAAATTCAAGGTGGATGACATCTGAGGTGTTGACCTCTGACCCCTGGTCTCTACACATAGGCATCATACTTGCATACACATATATATGCATCCCACACAGAGAAACATGCACACACACACACATACACACACACACACACACACACACACACACACACACACACACACACACACACAAACTGTATTCACAGAAATTCAGTACACAGACCAAGGCCAAGATGATTCTTTAATTTTTTTTAGATATGTTTATTTTGTTTTATGTGGATGAGTGTTTTGCCTGCATGTAAGTATGTACACCATGTGGGTGCCTGGTGCCCAGCAAGATCAGAAAAGGTCTTTGGATGTCCTGGAATTGAGGTTATGCATGGTTGTGAGTTACTATGTGGATGCTGAGACCTGAACCCTGGTTGTCTGCAAGAGCTGCTGCAAGTCCCCTTAACTGCTGAGCCATCTCCTCAGTCCCCAAGACAAGAAGACTTTGAAGCCAGTTCTCAGCGCAGCTGGACAGCAGGCAGCAGGTTGCTAGCCACACATTCACCAGCATTTTCTCCTCCAATGTCTTAAATATTTAGAATGCTTGCTTAGGCTGCACAGATCCAAGAAATAAAATAGAATTATTTTAATAAAGGAGATGCTGGGACGTGCCCCTGTGATTTAGAAAGCCCAT